CTGCACTGAAATTGAGAATATGTTCCTCAACTTTCTTTCCCTGTGACCTGAGGTTCCGATGCCGGTGGATCTGGCTGCGATGGGATTTTGCAGCACCGCCACGATCAGTCGAGCCAAGTTCAAATTTCAAGCCGAAGAAGGCTTATTGCCGACCGGCATTTGGAACCGGAAGCCATCGGCCTTTGGCAGCCACCTCGTCATCCCGTCTTTTGATTTACAACATCCAAAAGAGCCGCGCGGCGTTTTGGGTCGCTTCTTCCATTAACGAGATTAGGTAGGTAGGAGGTAGGTACCTAGGTAATAAGGATACCTAGGTAAGGTAGGTAGGTACATATGAATGTACGAGGCATGTACATTGTACATCCACTCTTGGTATCCTCTGTATGTAGTGGTAGGTACCATATACTTACCTAGAACGCCAAGTGGCAGCTTGCCCTGGCAGTTCCCCACAACTGGGGAATTTCCAGAACGAGGGGTCTTGATGCAGCCTCAGCAGATCATTTTGCATGTGACATACCATCGCTGGTGGTGTATATTTTGGACCTTAGGGAAACACCAGCGGCAACACGTGAGGCCGTGCGTCTTTCTGATTCTGCCTCTAGGCTCTGCGTGAGTGGTTCAGGGTTCGACTCGATTCTTCCTGGTGGTGCAGCATTTTCTCGGCGTAATTAGTGAAAGCATGGCCGCGTGCCAAACAAGAACTCTCTGTATGCAACAGATAAATTACTTGATGGCCTTCAACTGACTCACATCAATACATCTCCCCTTGTGACCTTCTACTACAGTTACTGACATATGGCGGATAGAGCCCCCGCCGTACACGCCCTAACTTAGAAGTTAGGTGGGCACACCACTATTTCGTCGAGAAGAGATTCGAGAGGGATCAACGCCGTCGCACTGAGCATGGTATCCTGAGGAGATATGCCGTTGCTTGAAACTTTCCAGAGCGGCAATTGGGTTGAACGCCGATGGCAGACTAGTCGGCCACTGCTTGGGGAAGAGCTGCAAGGCAGATGGTAGTGTCTCGAAGATCGCTGGTTATGGCAAGGAGTGCAGACGTGTGATGTGAAGGAGCAATGTGTTCTCAGTGCTCACTCGCCTAGCTGGCGGTAATGTGGCTTCAATCTCAGCCGTCGAGCGGCGTGGCAATCTGTCTTGTGTATTCAAGTCGTCCTTTTTTATGCCTCACTTGCACGCAGCTAGCGCCTGAACTGCAAAATGCATATTGGGTTGCCCATGGACACTTGAGCTGGCTGCCAATGTATGACCTGTAGTTGACTGGCATCAACATATTCCGTGGCGTCAAATTGAATATGCCTCCAGGCAAACCAGAACCCAGTCTCATTACTGAAGAAATACGCAATCTCACGCGATGCCACGTAACGTTCTACCTGACACGGTCTCTGAAAGTCAAATCTGGATGTCTTCACCACTGATCACCGACATGGAGGACGATATATTTGAAGCTGGAGCAAATTCATGTACATATGCCGGACGATCGATCCTCGTGTTCTGTGCCATAACTCGCCTACATACCACAATGTCTTGCCAATCGGTCCGTCGCCCTAGCCTTTTTTACGGAACATGGCTCCTGAGTCCTCACCCTCCTACGCGACACTCCCGCTTACAGACAAAACAGCCGTTAATTTTTACAGCACATCCCCCCACGCGACTGCAAGCCTGCGTGCATATTTTCGTCAGCAATTCCTTCGCATGGACTGCGAGAACGCTCTCTCCGTTTTGATTTACGTACCACGGGTGGTGGACACGTTGCCCGCTTTCCGCCCGGCGCTGCGAGCGCAATGCTCGCAAGCGCAGCAAGCACGATGACAAAACTCTTCATCTTGAGATAGTTCGCGTGTGTTTTGGATAACTTGATGAGGTTTGGTTTTTTTGAGTAGCACGTCTGGTGAGATGTGCTAATGTGTTTGTGTGTTTGTGTTCAACGGGAGAGGCCTTCCTTCTCTCTCTCTTTTTTTTATATTTCCTCATTACTGTTTTTTCTTTCTTTTTTTCAAGAATATCGCCAAGATATGTCCTTTCTGTACCGGCGTTTCGTGTCAGAGACACGGAGCTTGGCATGGCTTTCGATGTGACGGATGCATCTTGCTCTGTGAGCCTTTAGGTAGCCCGCGTGCAGCTGACGGCTGTAGCCCCGAAACAGGAATGATTGAGGCGGGTCTCTGGTCGATGTCAAACTCCGCAGGAAGCTTCACTTTTGACACATGGGCACTTTACTGCGACTGATGGATGGCGGGTGTTTTCGAGGTCCTGAGCCGGCCAACACGGCTGTGTCTGTTTCGAGGAAATCCTACTTTCGTGTTGCGCAGGAGTAGATGGTCAACATCGCTCGTAGTGGCATCGCCAACTCGGACTGAAGAGGACGAACTTGATCATCTCCGAACAGCCAAAGGCCGCAAACGCCGTCGCTATCAACTTGCTGACAATACATGAAATAGACTGGCAAGGGATTTTCCGGGGAAGCTAGTCCACACCCGTCGGGACATTTGTTCCGCCTTCAGTGTTCACCGCTAACGGCCGCATTGCCGCGGTGTCAGGCGAAGAGACAGCAATGAAATGCGTTCGTGTCGCAGTAGGGCGGGCTGCAATCTTTCATCTCCTTCTTCCGATGGCATGACAATGGGCACCATTTACAGTCCCCAGGCAATGGCCTTCGCCTCATCCCACGTCATGAAATTGATGAAAATCCATCGCAAAATCTCTCCAGCGACGTCTCCCTTACATCGGAACGAGTCCCTCTCCGGACTAACTTGTACGATCAAAGCTCCCTTCTTTCTGTACTCTCCGTCGATGACGGCAAAGTGATCTGGATCCAGCCCTCTCGTTTCCGCGAAGAAAGGGTGATCGTCGATGATCTGGTCGAGGCTGCGTTGTCTACCACGAGCAGCCGTGTATATTCTGGGCATCTCCTCCACGCCGCTCTCTCTGTCGGGACCGGAAACACCAGCCTCTTGCACGCCCCTGTTCATTGCCACGACCGCCTCATTGAAGGTGCTCCTCTGGGATGAGGCTTTGTACAAGGCAAACCACCTGAAGGGCGTCGCTGCCGTCTTCTCGTCCGGCACGTCCAGTCGCAGCGTGTACCAGCCTTCGCCAGAGGCGCTCAGGGAGCTCATGAAATCAATGGAAAGATCAGGTATCAAGCGAAGGGCATCGTCGAAGCCATGGTACTCGTTGAGACTGACGAGCAAGGCGCCGCGCTCCTCCAGGTCTGTGGAATCAAGGATGAGCAAAAGCGTGGGATGTGTGCCATACTCGTGATGGCTGCTGTTTCGATGGATGTGAATCACCTCCTGCGTATCAAGGCCGTCGAATCGCTCGATCACTATGTCTTCAATCTCTCCGTGGTGGTATCTGCTGAGCGCTTGGAGCACGGCCGACTCCTTCAGGTCTGATGCGGTGATGTATACTTTGAAGGCCAAAGCAGAGGCGCCCGAATCAGGGGTCCTCATCGTAATCGACTCTGAATCCGACATTCTGGCTCAAAATACAGTCAATATGGTTGGCGTCGAAGATGATGGCTGCTTGGGTTGCTTGAGCTTTAGACACTCTGGGATGAAAAGAGGCCGCAAAACATGGCTCGTGAGCAGGAGGGAAAAAATCGACGGACGCGGCGACCAACAGAGTAGCGAACGGGTAATGACGACGCTCTCCCTCATTTCTGCGTTAGAGGAACCAACTTGTGAGTTCGTGTATGGCCCGCGCCCTGCTTCTCAGCACATGCAGCCACAGACGTGCTGGGTTGGCTGCGCTGTTCGGTCGTGACTCGTGACTCGTGACTCGTGACGCGTAGGCTACGATACATTGAAGTCGAACCAAACGAAAATACGAAATGCTCCCAATAAGATCTGCTAAATTGGCGGTTTCAGATGGGGGTTTCATCGTCCACGCGTTGTTGGGCCTGGAAACGCAGATGCCGCGTCTTCAATAAAGCCCCCTTCATGATGCAACCTCACACCTCAATGCATCGGGGTCAGCAACCGGGCAGAAGTACCAGCATAGATATCACGATGACGAAAGCGCGGTAAGAAGAAACAAAGCATGTCATCATTGTTGCCGCCGTAGTTCGTAGAGCGCGGCAGGAAATCCCGAATACTCCCGAGTCCCTAGATCACCTCGGTCAACGCCCGAAACGAAAACCGTTCTTCATGTGGCATCAGTCTGCCAGTTAGCTTCACATCCAGATTGTGCATGTGAGCCAATATCGCTGCGCCATTCTGACAAGTCGCATGCTCAACAAGGCTTTCAAGCCAGATTCGCATGCAACGGCATGTAATAATTTGGAAGGTCGCATATCGAGTCGCTGCAGAAATCTTACAAGACGCCCGGTGATTGGAAAGATGTGCGTGATGTTGGATGTTGTGTTGAGATTGCTCTCCAGGTTTCTCTGAAACATCATCTGGTGCAGGTTGCAGGTCAGAAATGATTGTCTTACGAATCCAGAGCAACGTTGTCCGAGTTTGCTGTCGCCGGTCGGTGCTGCAGTGAGCTGTGTGCCAAGACAAACGCCCAACGTTGAACATTTGAACATGTCCCCTTGCAGACGAACAATAAGTTGCTGTACAATTTCACTCGTGACTCCGTCGTGAGACGTCATACGCATTCTATATCGGCCTCGGGTCATTGTTGTATCATGTAGGTATGTACATCGAACCCACCGAGGGTCTTCACGAAGGAGGGGGAAGATGCGACGCGCGTTGCATGCAGCCAACAACGGAAAGCAAAGGCAACTCGAGAGCCGTCTCATCAGAATGACTCGGAATCGCTGTTCAGCAACTCGGTGGCTCTGACCCAAGACTCCAGAAGCGCCGTCGTAGTAAACGCAAAATTTAAAGGTATTCCGAGAGGCAGTTAGCATTTTGCTCAAACAAATCTGGCACAACGCGGTCGGCGGCAGACTCATGCGGCGTGAAAGATCACGAGTCATGGGTCAGAAGAATTGATAGTTTGTTTTAAGAACGACTCAGACGTGTGACGTAGTTCCCGTAGCGGAGTGGTTACCGCGTGACTCTTATACGCTAGGGTTTCCCCTTGGTAGTATGGTAGATATGTCAAGGTCCGGGGTTCGACCCCCCGCGGGAACATTTTTGCACGTCTCCTCCTTTTTCAACACCCTCGCTCGCATCGTCCGTTCTCCTCATTCTCCGTCACCATCATCTCCGTCGTCAATTTTTATCACGGCACTTTTTTGTCTTCTTTGGGGATGCGATCGCTTCAAGAGATGCACTCATGGGTGTACTTACACTCAGTCAACGAGGCCAACTTGCGTCATCGTATATCACACGGGAGACGAACGAGCGACAAAATCTGTGAATGAAGTTGTCCGAGTCTTTCTTTCACCTGCACACGCACCTATCGGGGAATGCAGCGCATACGTAACCCGAACTACGACACACATCAGCTTGAAGACTGCGAAAGCCACAAGAGCATGCATGCACGGCGCCAGGACAAGAATCGTGCTTCTTTTTGGACTTCTCAGAAAGATGGACTTAGTCGCCGGGTTGAATGGATTCGAAATTCTTCTGCGAAGATAGAATAAATACAGTAGATGCTTCAATCTAAGAGAATGCGGTGGGACCGTACACTTTACTCACTCGTTGCCGTCGACCATTTCTGCCTACCGACGATACAACACCACGACGTAAAAATCCTCTTCCATACAAATACATAGCAAACACACGTTCTTACTCGCCGCAAGAAGTCTCTCACTTGTGTGTAGACCTTTTTTGCACAACAGAATAATACATAGCTCGCCCATCGGTGAACGAATGCCAAAGGATAGGAACTTATCACTGCTTCAGTAGTCGAGTTCAGCCAAATCAAGAACCCTTACCGTTTGATCAAAGGTACAGACAGCGTCGGTATGTGACACACAAGTCGAGAAGCGACAGAGACCGCAGCAGTCAAACGACGATGCCAAGTACGGCACTGAAAGCCCGAGACGCGAGACGCTCTCTTTGTGAGCAAAGCCAGGAAGCTCAACGCTTTGACGGGCTTTTCGAGCTAAAGTACCGGCGCGAAAGCAAATCGGACCAAGAGTAGACAAGAGATGAAGTGGCGACTCTCTTACTATGGAATGTCGAAGAACACTTTGGAGAACGGGGCCGAGTACGAAAAGTCGACAAGACGGAGATGAGGGCTCCGAAATTAGAGCTCGAGGCGTGTCTCTGTGAGGTTCTGGGAGAAGAACTCAACGATGCTGACAGGGTCCTCGATACGTTAACGAGGGGCATTATTGTAGAGGAAACTTGAAGGGGGCAGACGGCGTGCCAATCAAGGACAGAACGAAGAGACAGGCAGGCGGAGCACTTGTGACTTGCTGATAGGTATTAGCGAAAGATGCTAGAGGTGGTGAGCTTACATGCCATGCCATGGTCCAATGCCCAATGAACCGTACAAGTTTACTGAGCTGGGAACAGCGTTTCCCTCGTCGTTTGAGATTCAATTTGATGCTGAACACAATGAGGGAGACAACTAACCGAATAGAAACATGCACCAGGCCGCTGGTAGCACAGAGCTTCTCTGGGGAGAACTCGAAGAAGCCCCGACAGGCAAGCAGCCCTAGATGCCAAGCAGAGCGCCCTTGGTAGAAGGCGCCAATTTCGCCCTCAGCAGCCGCTTCTCATTCAAAATAAAGATCTCTCCCCTACGGCCAAAGCAGAAATTGGCCACACCGCCCGAAACGAGGATTTTCCCCAGGAGAGTACCACCCGGGGACCAAATACTGATGCCATCGCCCGATCCACTGTACACGTTTCCATAGACATCGCACTTGATTCCATCCGGAACGCCCGCATCCGCCATAGCAAACACACGCCTATTAGTGAGAAAAGGTTGCCCAGCCGAGAAAAGAACGTCAAACGCATATCTATTAATTCCAACCCAAAAAGAAAGAGGGAAATCGCCCATTAGCAATCGAGTTCAATATCAAAATTGGGTGTTACCGCAGGCAAAGGGGGGGGGGGGGCGGGGGGGAGGGTCAGGCAAGCCTCTTGAGTCTTACATACATAGTCGCAGGATGCGTATCATCAACCACCCCATCCCCATGAAACCGATGCGTATCCGTAACATACAACACCCTCCCATCCGGACTAAACGCAATCCCATTCGGCCTCCCAAACCCATCCGCCACAACGCGAACGGATCTCGTCCGCGGTTCAAATCGGTATACCTGGGACGGCAGACGAGGTCTTGGCCGAAAACCCTGCTCGAACCCGTATATTGGATCCGTGAACCAGATCGAGCCATCCCGGTGGTGGACGACTAGGTCGTTTGGCGAAGAAAAGGGCCTGTTCATGTAGGACTGCAGCATGTATCGCGACCTGTAGGGGGGCCTGCTCTCCATGAAGGATAGTCCGCTTGAGGTATTCATGGAGCCTTGTGCGCAGAAGAGGATCCCGTGTTTGTAGTTGACGCCGCCGTTTGGCATGGGGATATTGCGTGTTTGGACCTCCTCTACCTGGACTCGGACTGGCTGTCTGTTTTTGACTTTGTTGGGGGAAGATGATGGCGGGAGGGATATTTTCGTGATGACGATGCGTTGTTGCTGCTGCTGCTCCTGTGTGGAGGGATCCTGGAACCGGTTGCTCGTGACGAAGAGGGTGTTGTCTTGGGGGATGAAGACGCCGGCTTCGTGGGCAAAGGGGATGCTCTTGTTCTCGTGGAGGAGTTCGAGCGTGGGGGAGGGCCCAAAGAGTCGCTTGGCGTCCTTGTGGAAGATGGTGAAGGGGTTCGCTTCTTCGCGGGTGGCTGATGCGGTTGCTGCCGCCCAGAGAGTGTAGGCGAGAGTGGCAATGATCATGATTGGGTATGTTGGGCGAGAACGATGAGCTACAGAGGGTCACTCTATGCTTTTCGAGCACATGGATGGGGGGGGGGGGGGGGGGGGGGGGGGGGGTGTCTCGTGTTTATATACACGGAACAGTCGGACACGATATGCTGTATATACATATGTAGCATAATCATTATATCGTGGCGTCCGCTGCGATAAATGCATTGATTGTGTACTTCGAGACCAAGAGCAGCCAAGGAAGGAGCAGGAACAGCCACGCGGGAATCCCTCGTATCACGATACGACTGCCGCATTCTGGACGATATGCTGTCTACGTGGGAATATATAGTCTACCATCTAGTCTGAGTGACATGCGCCAAAGTCCCTGAGCCCTCCCTGTGAGTTGGAGCATTCTTCCTTTAAATTGGCCCAAACAACCAAGACAATTTCTCACTTCTCACCGCTGCCCAAGTTCAAGCTTCCTGTCGCCCACCCATTCAACACATTATAGTTCTCGAGAGGCGAAGTCCCGTGCAGCGTTTCGTAATGTGGCCTCATACCACACTGTGTGCCCTTGTGCTTCTGCGGACATCGTCCACTGAGCAGGGACGCGATCTGAGACCCAGCGTCCTTGCCCTCGAACCAGGCCCCATGCAGGAAGCCAAAGTACTCAGCGCTGGTGGCCTCGCCGGCGAACCACAGCCTGCCGGTGTTGGCCCGCAGGTTCTGGTGCATCTCCAGCGTCGTGCCAATGGGCCAGTTGGAGTAACTACCGTAGGCCCAGGGCTTTTTGGTCCAGCGCGGGTACATGAACGCCGTCGGTTCCGGCACAGCTACATTGGGGAACATTTGCCGCAGGACGGCCAGCATCTCCGCCTTGGTCTGCTCGTCGGTCTGCTGCTCCAGCCGGTAGGACTCGTCGTCAACGACAGTGGCGAAGATGATGTTGGAGCCCGGTAGAAAGCCATCGGCCGAGAGGGATTGCCAGACGGGGAAGTAGCCACGCTTGGTGGGCGACGCGTATAGGAAGTACTGCGTGTCCGCGGGCCAGAATGTGTGGTTAAATTGCATAAACAGCTTCGTGTAGGTGCCCATGCTGAACTTGGAGATGGAGGTGCGCTTCCACTCGGGCAGCGGGGGCTCGAAGCCGATGGCCTGGCTCTGCAGCACGCCGAGCGAGAAGGTGCAGATGGCGTATGCGGCGGACACGCATGAGCCGTCGCTGTTGTGAACGGTGACGCCGGCGTCCGAGTAGGTGATGTTGCTGATGCTGGTCTTGAGGAGCAGCCGGGGGTCGTTGGGCTGGAGGAATGTTTGCGCCTCCTTCTCGATGATGTGGCGGTACCCGCGAGGATCAATCACCAGGTTATTTTCGTCACCGAACTGATTAAACGTGAGGTTGTCGCCCGCGGCTCCGAAAATGAGCGACGAGTCCTCTGGGCTCCGGGCGGCTTCCCAATCTACATTGAGTCTCTTAGTTTCTGTGCCGTACGCCAGAGGAGGAAGAGACAAGGACGGGGAGGGATGACAAGGGACGGACAAGGAAAATGACACGAGAGAAATCCGGAGATGGAGACAGAAACACAAGAAAGGACTGCAACATGACTTACCCCAGCTCCACCACTCCACGGCCTGCCGCTTCATATCGCTGTGTTTCGGGTTCCAGCCGGCGAGCGCGAGGCCAGTACGCGCTGTTTCATCCTGGAGGTTCTCGGCCAGCATCCGCCCGGCCTTGGCGGATGCTTGATCCCAAGCCTTGGAATACTCGAGAATGAGCTCGTGATAGTCGGTGTGACCCGTCTCATTATACGTCAAGATGGAGCTGTAGTTTGAATTTGAGTTTTTCAAACCATGCTTTTGTGCCTGTAAAGAGGGTGAGCATGCTGTCGCGTATTGTGCAGAATATGTGAGCGCGAGCCCTGAGCTGCTTTCTTCTTCCTCTTTTTGCATCATATATTTCCATTACTCACCAGAAGCCAGACTGGATTTTCTGCGTGAAACCCAATTTAGCCTTGACTCATGGAAGGGGGAGGTGGAAAGCCAATGTTGCAAGATTGGGGTATTTTGTGTGATGGGAAGATGCTTACGAGGGCCACTTGGATTGCCGAGACCTTGGATCTAGACAAGGACGTGTGAGTGAGCCAGTTGCCAATGTGTCTTGGGGGTGTCATCTTTTCATGATTCGGATGATTCAAGCGATGCTTGACCTTGTTGGATGACTACATCACGCCAAGGCTGTAAAAACTCACCCAGTTGGCGCCGAGTTCGACCGCCCAGGGTGAACCGTCTCCTTGCTTGCCGAACGGTGCGTGC